TAATGAGTTGCACTTGTGTTGCTCATGCTGAAGATTCTCCTCCTGTTCCCAACAAGCCCCTCGATGGCTGGCCTGTGCCATCTGAGCTAGCAAAACCTCCCAAAGCTCATTTTCCCAGACATTGCCAAATATTTATGCTGTCTGTTTCCACAAGGCTCCTTCAGCTGGTAACCCAAGAGTGAAACAATTGGTGCAATTATGTTGTTTTGAGAATAATATCATTGGGAATGAAGAATGTGAGTCATGCTTTGGTAAGTGTTTCTTTAACAGTGTGTAAGTACATGTTTACTCGAGGAGAGAGAAGTATGGGAGCTGTAAATGTGTGGAAAACAAAAATACCTAACGAATAAGTAATTTAAGGGGTCATCGGATGCAAAATTCACTTGTATATGGTGTTTGCATATAAATGTGTCTTTGCAGTGTGTGGACACAACCACCATGCAATGAAAAAAACCCTTTCAATCCTTTATTTTTTTCTCCTCAAAAAGCCTATAGACTCTCAATAATCAAGCCATTTGGATTTTCTGGCCAATATGATGTCATACTGCTCATGCTCCGCCCACGACCACTGTCTTGTATTAGCATATTAGCTGTCGTATTAGCTGTCTCATATAACGGACTGTCTCGTATTAGCATATTTACGCCCTCAGCCATTTGTATTCTGCCAGGCCAGCACTTATACGCTCTTGCGTCGACACACCCCATGGAAGAGAGGGGTGGGGTGAGCAGTTGCTCATTATCATTTAAAGAGGCATGCACCGAAACGGGTCACTGCGAACAGAGCTGTTTTTGAGAATGTTAAAAGGGGTGTTGTTTTACACAACCATTGAGAAATTTTAACCAAATTATGTTACAAACATTACACGAAGACCCTAAAGAATCATACCAACTTGTGGAAAATGTATAAATATAATGGCATCACTGAAACTAAATCAAAGAGTGGCAGTGATTCAGTTTTATTCATTACAGCTGTTGACACTCCAACAGTAAAAACATGAGATGCAACTGTCTTTGAATGGAAAATTATTGCTTTCTGTCCCCACAGTTTACGCCAAATTCTGACTCTACCATCTGGATGTCTCAACAGAAATCGAGACTCATCAGACCAGGCAACATTTTCCAGTCTTCAACTGTCCAATTTTGGTGAGCTCTTGCAAATTGTAGCCTCTTTTCCCTATTTGTAGTGGAGATGAGTGGTACCTGGTGGGGTCTTCTGCTGTTGTAGCCCATCCGCCTCAAGGTTGTGTGTGTTGTGTCTTCACAAATGCTTTGCTGCATACCTCGGTTGTAACGAGTGGTTATTTCAGTCAAAGTTGCTCTCCTATCAGCTTGAATCAGTCGGCCCATTCTCCTCTGACCTCTAGCATCAACAAGGCATTTTCGTCCACAGGACTGCCGCATACTGGATGTTTTTCCCTCTTCACACCATTCTTTGTAAACCCTAGAAATGATTGTGTGTGAAAATCCCAGTAACTGAGCAGATCGTGAAATACTCAGACCGGCCCGTCTGGCACCAAAAACCATGCCACGCTCAAAATTGCTTAAATCACCTTTCTTTCCCATTCAGTTTGGAGTTCAGGAGATTGTCTTGACCAGGACCACACCCCTAAATGCATTGAAGCAACTGCCATGTGATTGGTTGATTAGACAATTAGACAGAACAGGTGTTCCTAAAAATAATTTAGGTGAGTGTATAGTATAGCTTAGTTAGTAGATTAAGAGTATAATTATAAGTTTACTTAGTTAAGTTCAAAGTATAGTTTCTACAGAAAAGAAAAAAAAACGTGTCACTAGTAAACTTACCATTTTAGCCTCATAAGTATTGAAATACACTTACAGATCGTTTCAAATCAGTTTCACAGTAATAAGCAGAAAACTAATGATCATCGTAAACTTCATTCAAATTCTGCCATAAACCATGCAGCTCTAAAAAGACAACACTGTCATTATTCAGATCCAGCCATTTCAATGTTGATTCAGTCCAGTTCAATAACAGCAAAATTCATCAAATATGAAACAAAGTTGAATCAGCTATAAAGCAGCTCTACAGAAGACAATAGTGTCATCATCCAGCTTAATTCAGTTCAAGATTTGTTCTCATCCATCAATGTCAGTGTAATCAAATCGATAATATTACTGAATATTAAGTGTACGTACAAGGATATGTAGAAAATACACTTGAGCTTTACTCAAGTTTACTGAATAAAATGAACTTAAAAGTATACTTCTTATTTGTAAGGGAATACTTTCAAATACGAACACCAACTCATCCATGTCTATCCATGTTTGATTTTGGTTTCACTTATTTTCCCCAATGGAAATCATTTCTGACATTTACCAATAGCTTTGGCTGGAGCGTCGGTATGTGTCCCATTGCTGTTAAAAAAAAAAAAAAAAAAAAAAACTCTGGCAAGATAGAAAAGTGCAAAAGAGGCTTCAAGTTTGTCTCTTGAGTTCATATCAGCAGCACAATCTGTGGACAGCTGTACAATAGAGCGCAGCAACAGAGACAGTGACTTATGAAACAGCCATCTGACTCCCTGCTATGAGTGTTTAACTCTTTCACAACTAAACCCAATGAAAACCTCCATTCCTTAAGGAGAATGAAAGCCCACAAGTGCACTTAAAAATGATTTTCCACGCGCAGCCTGATGTGGAGGATTCTGTCGATCTTGTTTAGAGGCCTGTCGGGTAACTTCGAGAATGTTGCTCTGGTCGATTTAGCACAGTTTTTGAACATTTCCCCTCTGCTCGCATCCAAGGCCTTGTCGTCGTTTCAGGAATCTGTGAGGAATGAGAGGAATTTTGCGCTTTTCTCAGCCTCCGCTTCTCTTTACGTCGGATTGTCCGAAAGGCCGGGGCCCTTAAGTTTTTCTTTTGTTTTTTTTGAATGGCCACCAACAATAACAACATCCCATAAACAATGGAGTTGGTTGAGCTAATGGGGAGCGGGGGGTTGAAGTGTTATTGCGTTTGGCAGCTGCTGCGCTGGCAGGCTCTCGAGTGAGGGCTAGCAATGTGCTCTTTGTGGTAGTGAGGAGATATTATGTCAGTTCTTGGATATGCGGCAGGTCCCGCGGGACAGAGGACTCTGCATCCTTTAGTAAACCCCCTCGGTCTATTCTCTGTTCCTTTCTCACATGCGTTCATTTTAACAGACACAATGCCATTGACAAAGCACCTGAAGCAACTGTAGGTTACTCACACATGGTTATAGCAAAGGTTACACATTTTCCTGGTGTACTTAATATTTCATTTGCTATATGTAAAGTGGCTGAAGATGATATCGTCGTGTCATAGTCATTGTGTTTGCTAATCATTGTGTTTAGCCTGTGCAAGATCACACACTAATCGCCTGCCTCTGTAAAAAGGGGCAGCGCCTTGGGCCTCGTCGATGCACAGGTGCTGTCCCGGTCCCGCTGCCATGACAACAGGTCTTGGTTGGCACAGGGTCCTGGCCGAGGTGTGCTGCTCTCAGGTTACAGATTTTGAAACTTTTGAGGGCCAAATGACTCTTCCAACTCTCAGTGCCAAGGTAACATAAGAAATCTAATCGGGAACAATAGCAACAGAACTATTACTAAAGCAGTTTAGCGGTGAAAATGTCCCTATTGAAAATTAAATGTATTTGAAATACATACATTTTATGCTTAGTATCCTACAAATACATTTACATATTTATCTTTTTAATATAAATAGTAATACCCTGCAATTGTACTTATGGTATACGTAAAGTCTGCTAATTTTAACAACTAATTTTAGACTTAACACACTTTAGTTAACCGGAAATAGATCTGAGGTCCAACTAAAGGTATACTTAAAGGAGTAGTTCATTTAAAAACTTTTGCTGATAATTTACTCACCCCCATGTCATCCAAGATGTCCATGTCATTCTTTCTTCAGTCGAAAAGAAATTAAGGTTTTTGATGAAAACATTCCAGGATTTTTCTCCATAAAATGAACTTCAATGGGAACCAAACGGTACAAGGTCCAAAAGACAGTTTCAGTGCAAACTGTTCAAAGGGCTTTAAACGATTCCAGACGATGAATAAGGTTCTTATCAAGCGAAACGATCGCTCATTTTAAAAAAAAATAAAGTTTAAGTTTCATAAGCTCAAATGGTCGCCTTGCTCTGTTCTGTGACGAGTGTTCGTGACTCTCCTGGTCAAACTCGTTCATCAAAATGAATGAATCTTTTTTCGTGTCATTTGGTTCATTCAACGAATGAAATGAACGAGTTGACTCGGGAAAAGATTTGTTCATAAAACTTTTAAAAGTTAAGTTTAAGTTTATAAAACTTATACTTTATTTATTTTTTTTTTAATGAGCGATCGTTTCACTTGATAAGACCCTTATTCATCGTCTGGAATCGGTTCCCATTGAAGTCCATTGGAAAATGGAGAAAAATCCTGGAATGTTTTCATCAAAAACCTTAATTTCTTTTCGACTGAAGAAAGAAAGACATGGACATCTTGGATGACACGGGGGTGAGTAAATTATCAGCAAAATATTTTTTTAAAAAGTGAACTACTTTTAAGTATATAAGCTGAAGTGGAACTATTGCAAGTCTAGTTTTATACAGAGATCATACTACTAATAGTGATATTAAAACACATTTAGGCGTAATATTAAGAAATGTGTATTGTGCCGTAAAGAAGTACAACATAACGTTTAATTATAATATTTATTTCAGTAAGTCTCAAGCAATATGTCAGTATGTTAATGGATTTGTAGTATGCCTAGTATGAAATAAATACAATTTTACAAGGGGCTATTAAAAAAAAGGTCTCCTGTGTGCAAATAGCAATACTAACAGAAAACAAAGGTTTTGTGTAAGATTTGAGGTTTTTAATAGAGGTTTCTCACTTGTGTAATACATTTTCATGTCAAGCATGATGAACTATAACCAAAGGTCTGATAATATTCTTCCCAGAGAATGAAGTGTGACCGCCATCTAGTGGTCATATTTTTGCAAAAGAAATAGGCAGGTTGAGGAAGAGTACAGTTCTAATATATTTTATTCGTAATAGATATAGAAGAACATTATGTAACTCTGTACATACACCAGAATTAATTAACACAACTCATTAAAGTGATTCATGAATATAATATTTTAAGTGCTGACTAACAAAGCAAAACATTTTTAGGTTGTTGATCAGTCATTCTAGCTTCAATCCCATTCCCACACAAAACACACACACACACACACACACACTTAAAGCCTCATTATCATGGTGGCAAATAGCTATTGTAAGTGTTTCACAAATACACAATCCCCCAAACTGAGTTACACATCAGTCCTCATGTATATTCATTCAATTTTCATAGACACATGAATCACTGGAATCATGATTTTGGCTTGTAGGGATCAGACCAGATCTTCACACCTAATTCAAATAGGACACATAACAGGACAATCATATAAAGAAACTATTCTTGTCCATTAAATAGCATTATGGGCCTAATGCAAATAAATTGTAGTAGGCTACTAGAATCTATTTTCCTGCTACTAAACGATCATACTTAAAGCTTTAAACTACTAATCATGTGTGATGTCAGCCAGGTATCACATTTATGTTTACAGTCCTACTTGCTAACAGTGTAATAAATCAAAATCACAACACTTAACAGATATAATAAAGTGTGAGCATGACTTACCAACAGGCTGCACATCTGCTTGATTGACTCCAGATCGATTTGTCTTCTGGACCTGCTCTGTAAACACAACAATTTAGTCTTTTTATTTGGTGAATCTTGTAAAAAAAAAAAAAAAAAAAAAAAAAAAAAACCTTCCACTTTACTTTTGGATTTCCTTTTTGTTTGTTTGAGCTCCCATTTTATTATTATTTTTTTAAATGTTTAAAAATATTATTTTTTAAAATGTGTTTTAATTTAATCTTATCACAGTGTGGTATTTTGATGTATAATTTAAACATGTATTAGTTAAAAAATATATTTTGAATTAGATTATATTTTTATAATTTACTTTTATTTTAATTTGAGTTTTATTTGTTTTTATTTTTATATGTCTGTATAGATTTTTATTAGATTTAGTTTTTTAGTTTGTTATTGTGGTACTTCAACTTAAGCTAAATATTGAGAAATGTTGTCTTGGAGGCTTGCAGAAATGAAATACGTTAAAAAAAACAATTCATTTTATTAAATGTTTATTTTATTTGAAGTAATAATCAATGTAATTTTTGAATGGTTTTTTAAAGTCAATTATAAGCGAAGATTAAAGAGGGCAAACGTAACGTTATACGTTCTTCACAAATGGTCTAAAATGTACATTAATGCTTTCCCTACCTAAACTGAAATAATGATTATAAGACTACGGGGTCAGAAAATGCAATAGAACGTGATGTTATTTTAGATTACATAAATTTACAAAACAACAACAACACATGTGCAGTGTCATAATGAGTGATAAAGACTTACTGTAGTCTTCAGAGTGAGTGAGAGGATGGAAAAATATCGGATAAAAAGCCACAGCAACAGCTGCAATAAAGCCTCCGAATATAAGCGTTATCCTCTTATTTGTGGACATGATTTTGACAGATTCACCTCATCCGAGGACAAAAATCAACTCAATCTAGCTTTTCCGGGTTGAAGTTCATATGTTAAAAACAAGTCCAAAGTCTTATTTTAATCAACCATTGTTCTTTATCAAAAGTCTCTATTCAAAATCATTATTGTTTTAAATATTATTTACACACATATGATATTATACTCGTAAAATGTAACATTTATGTGCTAACGGCATGGCAGAATAATAATTGATAGCGGGACTTTTATTCTGTCGAATGTTCTCCCGTCATGCAGTGTGTGTAGTGTTGCTGTGTCAGTGCGTGCAGTGATCGCTGTCTTTCATCAGTAATAATGTCCGGTAGTAACTCATACAGACTGCGCTGCTCTCTGCCCGCGCACGAGATGGATGTCAGGGGTCTCGCCACTGCCGCCTTTCCGGACGGAGCCTTTGTGTCCGTGTCCAGAGACCGAACCGGTCGGGTCTGGGTACCGAACCCGAGGTACACCACCAACAGCTTCCTCCTCCTACTACTGCTGTGTATAATATCGTTACCTGGTTTACTGTTGTTTCCGTTGTTGACTAAGCTAAGTGGTTTATTATTTGTATAGTTAATGTATTGAGATGGTCAGCCTAATCAAGTGAAATTTGCCAACTCACGAGCATCATAACTGAAACGAAACTGACCGGTGTTGGTTTCCTGACATAGTAACTTACTCCAAAATGTAACCTTAATGTTAAAGGAGTAGTTCACCCGGAATGTGTAAGTTATTATTTACTCCCTGCCTTATTGTTCCAAAACTTTTTGGATTTTCTTTCTTCCTGAATATATATATATATTTTTTCCATATAATGGCCGCAAAGGGTGACTGAGGGTGTCATTTAGCCTTTTGTGATCCACCGAAGAAAGTCATACACATTGTTGACAGAATTGTCATTTTTGGGGGAACTGTCCCTTTAAACTTCTTGATTCGTTTCATATTAAATTAGACAAAAATAAAACATTGGTAAAACAAACAAATAAATAAAACCATATATACACTACAGCTCAAAAGTTTGGTGTCATTATTTTCTTTAAATAAATGCTGTTCTTTTAAACGTTTTATTCATCAGATAATCAAGAAGAAAATATTTCACACACATATTAAGCAGAATAACTGTTTTCAATATTGATAACAATCTTTTTTTGAATAGCAAATTAGTGTATTAGAATGTTTTACGAAGGATTATTTGACACTGAAGACTGGAGTAATTACGCTGACATTTCATATTTGCTATCACAAGGATGAATTCCGTTTTAAATTGTATTAAAATTGAAAAATGATTGTTTTGTAGTTCACAATATTTCTGTATTTTTGATCAAACAAATGCAGCCTTGCTGAATAAGATACTTCTTTAAAAAAAACTTTACTAAAAACGTTTAAAAAAAAATTAAAAATCTTACCAACTACAGATTTTTTAATAGTTGAGTATAAAAGGTTCATTTTAAAGGCATAATGAAATCAGTCCTATTAAAAATGACATAAACACTGTTAACATAGCTAACTCTTCATTATTTTGTTGCAGTGAAAACCAGGCCTTTACTGAGATGCTCTGCATGAACGGCCACTCAAACTTTGTGTCTTGTGTGTGTATCATCGCTCCGAATGAAACATATCCCAGAGGGCTCATCGCTACTGGAGGACACGACAACAACATCTGTGTGTTTTCTCTAGACCGACCAGACCCTCTGTTCACCCTCAAGGGTCACAAAAACACAGGTACTGTCCACTGCTAATTATTCATTCCAGTGGTTTAACTGCATGCAGATGTTCTTGATTTCTTTACCCATTCCTGGTGTTTTTGTATGTGTTTACAGTCTGCACACTCTCAGCTGGCAAATTTGGCACAATACTGAGTGGCTCATGGGACACTACAGCCAAAGTCTGGCTCGGAGAGAAGTGCATGATGACTTTACAGGTAAAATGCCAGGGTTCTTGTTCTTGTTATCTCCGTAGTAGGGCTGCACTATTAATCAAAATAAAACCGTAATCGCAATTAGGCTTAGTGTGATTATCAGGTCGCATAGGATGCGATTTAATTCAAGTTCAATTCAAATATATGGCACTGTGTTCTTTTACACGTGAGGAGCTCATGATCTGATGTTTTGATTGTTTTGGAGCATCTCAGTTCGCAGTAAATGCTGCTTTACATGAACTCATCTATATATGTGAGTTTTGGTCACTTATAATATCTATTTGGGAGCACAACATGTGCTGACTATCTTCCCTAATTGTTTTCTAGAGCTCACACTTACTGTACATGCAATCGTATAGAGTTAAAGGGATAGTTCACCCAAAAATGTTGATGTCATACCAAACCCGTAAGACTTTCGTTCATCTTTGGAACGCAAATGAAGATCTTTTTGAGGAAATTTCAGAGATTTCTGTCCCTCAATGGACAGCTACGCAACTACTTTGATGCTTCAAAATGTTCATAAAGAAATAGTAAAACTAATCCCTATGAATTGAGCAGTTTAGTCCAAATTTTCCGAAGAGACACGATTGCCTTATATGATGAACAGATTGAATTTAGGTTTTTATTCACATATAAACAGTCATCAACTCACACATCAGTTGTGGTAAATGGAAACTCAAGCATGTTCTCTTGACATGCGAGAACCACAAGGACCTATGAGGTTCATTCTTGTGTTAACGCAGCACAATTTAGCTTTAACAAGAACCAATGAGGTTAATTCTTGTGTTAAGCAGCACGTTTCTTGCTGAAGCTCATGTTACACGTTTGAGCTTCAGCAAGGTTCATTCTCGTGTTACGCAGCGCGTTTGAGCATTAGGAAGAACCAATGAGATTCATTCTCGTGACATGCAGCACGCTTGAGCTTCAGCATTGTAATAATATTATAATATCAAGCTACCATAGATGAATCTGCAAATTTAAAAAAATCGATTTGCATTATAGTGTGAGGCAAGACACTTTCACCAGAAAAAATAAGTAACAAACATGACTATCAGCCTGCAGACATTGGACAGTTGTATCATAATCCAGATAATAATCCATAAACCGATTATTTTGTCCGTCCAATCATGTATTATTTACGTGCAAGAATGTAACGTTAGCCCCTACCAAACTCAGTAATCAGTATACTTTCATGTCTCGAGCTGGCTCGAGCTTCCCGCCCCGGCTCTACGTGGATGCTTGAGTGTCTTAAGCGCCCTCAAAAGAAAGCAATGCAGTCTACATTGAATGCAGCGAGGGGCGAAGCTAAACAACACATTACCAACAGTAAACTGATCACACATGCGCTCTGTTTCTGACGCACTTCACATTTGGTTTTACTTGCTGATTCAGCCATGACAACATACAGAGGTAAAAAAAAAAAAATGCTCGTTGGGCTCTCGCGTCGGAATTTGAGAAAGTGGGGGAAGTGACGTATGCCGTAAAGCAGTCGAATTTTGCAGTTCTTTTTGTGCTCGGGTTCCCAGAAGTTACAGAGTGCCAGTAAAAGCGATACAGACGTCATTCAAACTATTGAAGTCGATGTACCATCTCAAGGGTAACAACACAAAAACAACATAGTGCTGCTTTAAGTATGCATATTTAGTGTGCTGTCCGAAGGGAGGGCTCCGAGCTTGGGATTTCCCCTGAACACAGAGTACCCTATCCTTGACTAGGATAGGAACAACCTTAAAAGTGAGACGTGGAAGTGGTGGAGGGATGCTGCAATAAATATGGTTTAAAATGAAGAAATGAAAATAATATATATTAATATGGAAAGTTTAGGTAATTTATTAATAAATTGATTATATTTTACCAAAATTTTAACAGTAAAAAAAAACATTAGATTTTTTTTTTTGTTTAATAATTTGGTAACACTTTACAATAAGGTTCATTAGTTAACATTAATAAATGCATTAACTAACACGAACTAACAATGAGCAATGCATTTAGTTACAGTGTTTATTAATCTTTGTTAATGTTAGTTAATACAAATCCAGCTGTTCATTGTGCGTTCATGTTAGTTCACAGTGCATTAACTAATGTTAATTAGTACAACCTTTGATTTTAATAACATATTTGTAAATGTTGGAATTAATAGTAACTAAGATTAATAAATGCTGAAGAATTATTGTTCATTCTTAGTACATGTTAACTAATGTTAACTAATGAACTTATTGTAAAGTGTTACCATAATAATTATAGTCATCTTGACATATTATAACAAAAAAAAACAAAAAAAAAAACATATTTTGTCCAAATTGGACCAGGAGTGTTTTTTTTTTTTTTTTTATCGCATTTGCAATCACAAGTTTTATCGGTTAATTGCAATAAAAAAAAAAAACACTGTCTCTTTAAGAGGGAGATCATATTGCTTGCAATCGATTTCAGTACAGTGTGAATGTGTGCTGACTGTTTTCCTCTGTTTATGCTTTACCTCAGGGACACACGGCTGCTGTATGGGCCGTGCTCATTTTACCGGATCAGGGCTTAATGCTGTCTGGATCAGCTGACAAGACCATCAAGTTATGGAAAGCTGGTCGCTGTGAGAACACCTACACTGGTACATCGGCGCAACCAATACCTCTAATGCTTTTTACAAGACAACATTGATGCTGAATATAGAAAGTGTTTTACAGCTCTCCAGAAGGGGTCACTGTTTGTAAAGATTGTGGCATGGGTGAAATGCAATGTTTGACTGAGATATTTTTAATATGTGTCCTGCAGGTCATGAGGACTGTGTGCGAGGGCTCGCGGTGATAAACGACGTGGAGTTTTTCTCCTGCAGTAATGACGCCAGTATAAGACGGTGGATGGTGACTGGTGAATGCGTGCAGGTTTACTACGGTCACACGAACTATATCTACAGCCTTGCTGTCTTTCCCAACGGACAAGGTGATTACCTTTAGTTCTGTTGTGTTTGCTACATTTTCGTGTATAAAATCTCTCATATTGTCTTCTGTCTTTTTTCCTGTCGTAGACTTCATAAGCACAGGAGAGGACAGGACACTGAGGGTCTGGAGGAAAGGGGAATGTTCCCAGACTATCCGTCTTCCTGCCCAGTCAGTGTGGTGCTGCTGTATTCTGCCTAATGGAG